TAATACCAGCAGGTAATTATTAAATTCCCCCCAACCCAGCCCCCTGCAGAACATTTGTATTGCATCTGGAAACACTGAGCACAACAATTGAGTCACAGGTTTGGGCACCAAAGTATGATGATTATGGTAATCCAACAATGCCAAAGCTCTATTGTATGTCACAGATTTTTGTTGCAAACTCATGACCTTATTAACCTTCTTAATCCTCAACTGGGTACTCATGATAAGGGGCTTACACGCACACACAAACATGCACACGCACCCAAACACTTTCACTTTGATGCCCGGCAAACACTTTAGAAGCCATATCCACCTGTTTTTATCCTGCACACCTGAGGTTCAATGCATAATATCAGCAGAGGCCCTTGAGTCATCCAAGACAATTAACGCTCTCCCTTAGATCAACTGTGAAAAAAAAAAAAAGAGCATGGTGGCGTTTGGAGCAGAGGGCCCTCCCAGTTTAAGCACATGAGAAAGCAGGTCTGATTGGTATTAAGTGGTGAGATTAAAAAGCCATCTCATAAGTCAGGTCAGCTGGTGTTCATTTGAATGCATTACCAGGGTCCGAGGCTAGATAATTCTCTCATTAGCGCCACTCAAACCCTGAGTGACAACATGGGTGAGAAGGGAGCATGTCGTACAACACTTAGAGTTAATTAGTCCGCGCGCACTGTTGCTCTGCGCCCTACGCTCTCTCTTGAAATGGCCTGAACCTAAAGCGTCTGCAGTTAATCAAAGATGAGCTGTGGAGTTTTCCAAAGGAACCACTTGTTGTTTTAGTAAATACCTGAAAATTGCATTTCTTTTTGTCCTTTTTTTTTTTTTAAAGAAAAAGGTGCACTCTCACAACTGTAAATGTACTATATGTGATGTGTCATGTTCAGTATTGTCAATAAACCGTTTTTCTCTTTGTACGAGACTTTAAACAGTTCAACAAGGAAAATCTCAGTTTTTTTTTTACAAATGCTACTAGACTGAAGGTCAACTGGGCGAGAAACTCGAGCTGTCAGATTGTAAGTAAGCGAACATTGCTGCCAGAATATCAAACCAGGGGTAAACCAGCAATGATCGAAACCAACATTCAGTATTATCACACACATTAGACCTTTATCTCCCTTTCCTCCTCCAAAGAAACTCTCCAGCTCTCTCAAATTATTACAAGCTCTAAATGTTTTGCTTTTGGTCATGTTAGCTAGCTTCGGTGCTTTGCCATTGTTCAGACGGCCCATTTTCAAAAACCTCAATAGTCCAAAAAATGTCCCATTGGACCGAACGCCCATTTGTCTGACGGCCCTTTATTCCAAAAGCAAACACATACTGCTGCAATGGCCCGTTGTTCTGAAAATACACATTACACACACTACATACTTTACTTAACTGACATGCATATGTACATACCAAATCTAAGTAGTTTTGGTGCATTATCATAACAAAACAGTTTTGGTGCTAAAATCTAACCAAAAGGCAACCATTTCACCATGTTAACCACATGTTCATTATTGTTCCCATGACAACGAAGGTCACCTGACTCTGAATTCCTGCTCATCCAAATACTCAAATATTAAGGGCAAAAAAATTCCAGGGAGAGCGTGTATTTTCTAAAAAATGGACCTTCGGAGCAGTGGGCTTTAGTTTTCAGGATAACGGGGACAAATTGATTTTTGGTCCAATGGGACCTTTCAGACTATTGGGGTTTCGGAATAATGGGGTATTGGAACAATAGGCAGTCTCCCTTGTTTCAAGGAGAAAACAAGGCACACAGAGTAGCTCAGTGGGTGATGCAGACTGATTATCTCACATTAGCATGACCTACTTCACTTCAAAATCAGTATCCTACTGTTGAGTGGACATGACAGGGAGTGATGAAGAAAATTGCAACACAGACGTTCTGCATTTTAATCGAATCATATTGTTTCCTTGCAGCCCGCTAGCAAGAGTTTTGTGGTCAGGTAGTGGCCTATGTCCTAGGAGTTGAGGATCAATGATCTAAACCATTGGTCAAAGGTGAAGCAGGAAGTTCTTCTTGTTTTTAACGATGCATTTCCAGATCTCAGCTATTTTTTTTTGCTGAGTATTACTATTGCGAACAATGGCCAAAATTCCAAAAACAAGACCCAGGTTGTAGGAAACTGGAATTGCCCCTTCAATTTTTGATTGAAGTTGGACATGAGAGGCCAAGGTAAATGTGGAATGAAGCTTCTACTGTTGCCCCCTGTTTCCCTTTCATTATTTTCAGCCAGATAAGACCCACAGGTAACCATTTTCTGTCTCTAAAGTTTCAGAGGAGATTTAAGGCAGATGAATTTTTCACTCTTTCTTTGTTGATGACATTGTGTTTGCATATTGGGAGCATGAGGTTATATCCACGTCATTAGTCTCTCTGCTTGGATCCAGGCCTGATAACTACACCGCCATCTCAGTTATATTCACTTCGGTTCTAAAGGGTCCATAAATTGTCTCTTTCTCTTTCTCACTTACGTTCACTTGGGCTCCTACCACTGTTCCCACGAGACACGGAGCTCGGCTCATTGGCCACCACACACACGCACACAGAGGGGTTTCTCTCTTGCCACCACCGCTGGGCTTACCCACCACACACACACACAGACCCTGAATACCAATCTCTGCATGTGCCACCCCCCCCCCTATCACCACCCCCAACCGAGCACACAGGGTTAGCTGAATATTCTAGGAGCTTTCAATTTTTCAGGCAGGTCTGCGAACCCCCTCCCATCATGCGGCGCTATCACACTCAAGGGAGTTAGAATTTCAACAGTCGTTAGCAGGGTCATCTGCAGTCCCTCAGGGAGGGACTTAAAAGAAAAAGATTTGAATTGCCTTTCTCTCTTTTTATTCTCTTTGCGTCTCCCCACTTTAGCTCTCTGTATGGGTCTGTCATAATTCCACTTCCTGTCTTCAAGGCCTAGCAATATTCATCCCCCTCAATCTTGTCTCTGCCGCCAAATTCATCAATCAGAGACGAGGTCTTTCAAAGCGCTTTTTATAGCTCAGATGTCACGCTTCTTACACCACTGTCAAAAGTGGTGACAGAGCTCCAAACCGCTGGTTATGCCACGGTAAGGCGTTTATCCACTTGTATAATGTACTGTAGTGCTCATACAGGATCAAATACGGGATGTGAGGAAAATGGCTTCCAGCTGAAAGAGAAAGAGAAGGAGGGGGTTGTGAGGAAGACAGGGGGGGGG